TGGTAAACCAAAGTTTTCTATTGGAGATAAAGTTAGAATTTCAAAATATAAGAGAAAAGTATTTGATAAAGGTTACACACCAAACTGGACAGAGGAGATATTTGTAATTGATAAAGTTCTTACAACAAAACCTGTTACGTATAACATTACTGATTTGATGGGAGAAGAAATTAAGGGTTCTTTCTACGAGCAAGAATTACAGAAAGTAAAACAGCAGACATTTAGAATAGAAAAGATAATCAGACGAGATAATAAGAAAAAAATGGCATTAGTAAAATGGAGTGGTTATCCTGATAAATTTAACTCATGGGTGAGTTCTAAGGATTTGGTTGATTTTTAATACAAATAATGTATTAAAAATAGTTATTTACTCATTTTCTTCTTTATCAGATAAAAATAAGTCTTCTACTACTTGATCAGTTATCTCTTCACCCTCACTCTCTTCCTCTTCAATTGTTAGTAAAGATTCCCTAGGTTTTAATGGTTTGACATAGCACTCATGTACTTTTATTTGTAAAGATGTTACAGTCTTACTTATAAAGATTCCTTCAACAATCAAAGCCATTTTAACATTGCAGTACTGATTGATATATTTGAAAGGATTTAAATCCTTCTTTCCTTTTGTTTTAAATAGTGAAAGAATTTTCTTAGATTTCTCAGAGTAAATAAGTTTTGCGTAAAGAACTGGTGCTGATGAGGGATCTATTCTTGTTTTCTTCTTTCCTTTCTTATCTGTATATTCTTCTTGTTTGAAATAAAATGGTGAAGATAGAGTTGATGCTAAATCTGCACCGTATTCATTCTCTAAATATTGCTGAGAGGCAGTTGTTATATTATTAATAACATCAAAAAATACACGCTCTTTAGTACTCGGCTCACTACCTTTAGCCCAAAGACATACTGGCATAGAGTAACCTACTAACTTGTTTGTTTCTTGGTTTTTCTTTTCATTTACTCCAAAAGAGAAAAGAACTGGAGTTTCAATTACAAGTGGTCCTTTCTTTCCGTTTTGATATTTGACTTCAATTGGAATACGCTTGTATTTGATTTTGCTGTCTTTTACTTTGTACTCCTTAGGTTCATTAAAAATAATATTCTCTTGAGTTAAATTTTCGTAACTGGACAATTGCATTTTTATTATAATAATTTAATCTTTAAGCGATGATTTATTACTAATTGTATTTTCTAAAAATAATAACTTTCCTGAAATACTATCCAATCTTGATAAAATTTGATTAAATCCTTTTTTTAAAACTTCTATAAGTTCTTGTTTAAAAATACTATTTCTATCTAAATTAACAATATTTCTATTATATAAATCATTATCATTAATTACACAATTTGAAGAACTCATTTTATTATATCAAATCTTTAATTCACTTTTTTGGCCAGAGAAGTCGTGTTGACCAAAAATTGCTCGATTCCGGATTATTATAAGTTAACTCACCTTGTTTATTTTTAATCTTTGTCGCTCTAGCAAGATATTTATCTCTTCTTTTCCACTAACAAGATATTTTTCATCTGGAACATAATCTGGATCCACATCATGCCTATAACCATCATCAACTATAAAATCCAAATCCTCTTTTGTAGGAGTAGTTTCTCTTGATCTTGGTTCCATTTTTATTATTTTGATTATATTATTTTTTATGTAAATTTTCCTACACTCAACTTATCAATCATTAATAGATTTTAAATTTGCATACCATTCATCTGTTTTTGTAATAGGAATAGGAATATCTAAAAACTCATAATTATCCTCATCATCTTCTACAATACATTTCTCTAAACATAAATAATTAATTTCTCCTATTTCACCTCCACCACAAAAAGCATAATCATATACTAAACAATCAAGAACTTTTTTTACACGTTCTATATCAATCTTTTCTTTATTTATATATTTTGAAATAGTTTCACAAAAAATTTGATTTACAAAACAGAAAAATGTATGTATTTCATCAAATTCCTCACTATCATCATAATCTTTAATTATTTTTTCAATATTTAAACAAATTGAATAAAGTCTACTAAAACCTTTCAATATTTTTTCTCTTTCCAAATTATTAGTTTCTTTTGCCTCCTTAATTTTTTTAGCTAAATCTTCTACAATTGCGTATTCAAACATTCTAATATATAATTTTATATTTATTAAACCATAAATTCTTGTAACAAAAATTGTTATAAGAATGAAATATTATTCACTATCACTATCACTATTAAATAAAATGAAATTAACATCACTGTCAAATCCATCACCATCACTATCACAATCACTATCACAATCACTATCACAATCACAATCACTATCACTATAAATAACTTTTTTTTCATTCATTATTTTTAACTTACTAAAAAATAATTTAAATACTTCATAAATACTATCCATACCAGGATAGGGATAAATAAATTCCTCACCCTCCTCAAGAAAATATTTTTTATACTGAATATACAGACAAAAATTATTAAAATTCTTATCAATCTCAATTAAGTTATCAACGTCATATCTTTCAAGTACAATATTGCTTATATCTTGAAGACGACCTCTTTCTTGAGCTAACAAAAATCTTTTGATAAACTTTTTGGTTCTATCAACTCTATGATTTTGAAATAACCCACTAGTTGCTTCAACTATGTTATCAACAAAGTATTTAAATTCTTTATTAATCCCTCTTATGAAAAGCCACTCCTTTCGCAATTGGCCTACATACTCAGGAATCTTATCAATTTTATTTTTAGAAGGGCATTTTAAGATAATGTTCGCAGTTCCCACTCCCATTACTACTGTCACGGAAGTTACATGAGGATGAGTTACTCTGGGTACTGGTCGAATGCATAATCCTTCAAAAATGGATAAATCTGGATCGCCTGTGTTACTCTCATCTTCTGTTCTTCAGTCCAAACTACTTTGTTTCTGGTCACTGAAGGTGCACCATACATGATGCTACTGCATTTATCAAGGTAATCATCAGAGCACGTGACCCCCAAATGGTCACACAACTTCTGTATGGTCTCTCTTGGTCTGAGCACTGTTTCGTGTCCTGGAATGTCAATCACTGCTTCTCCGTAACGTTCCCGGACGCGATGATTAGCGTCGGCTAATTTGAAGTAAAAGTCTATCGATTTGTCAAGACTTTTTGTGTTATTAATCTAAGAGAAAGGTAAAAGCACGAATTTATCTTTCGCACTCTCAACAACCAGAGTTATTATTAAGTATAGGATAATGCGTAAGCTCCGAGGCCTTCTTGAAAATAATGACCGCGTGCGTATCGCGAGGTTATTATTAATTTTAAGAAGAGTTAAAAGTCAGGGCATTATCCGATTTAATGCACCTTTACATTTATTTAGAACCAGCTGGTCTATGACGTCGTGAGTGACAGTGGAACTTGAGAAAATGGTAGAAGATTTCGCTCGTTTGAAAAAGGCGAGATAGACGATTTACTGCTTCAAAAAGAAAATACCACCTTTTGCAGATAACAGCCTTCTACAAAAATTGTTAAATATCTGACGGGTATCCAAAGTAGTTTTCCTCCCTTGTAACCTTATCTCACCTTTGTATCGCCTTCTCTCACTGCATCACGACGGCCTGAAGCACGAAGAGTCATTGTTGCTATGTTATCAAATGGGTTCCTTGTGACGTGGATGAATTTCATTGGTACTTGAACTACTTCGGCTATTTCCTCAAGAGTTTTCATTCTGTCTGGATTGGCTAAAATCATGGAACTTTCACCTCCTTTCTTGTCTCCAATAACCTTGCCAAAATAAATGTTAGAAAGGATCAGAATTTACTAGAGCCCTTATCGTCTTGTTCATCTGTCAACACCAGCCTACTCTCTGGGCATGTGACGTCACCGAGAGCGATTGTCACCCACCCTTTCCTAGACTTCGCGCGGACAACGGGGAAAGAGAAAATGCCTAGTGACTAGGCTAAGTCAACACCAAGCAGATAGGCGGTGTTAAGCTGAACCATGTCTCCCAACTCACGTGTCCTATACAACTACTTCATGGATAAACATATTGAATCGTTTTCTTCTGATTTTGCCAGCTCAGGTTAAGAATGGGTAGGATGATATCATGATGTGAAACGTTGTAGGTTTTTCGGATAACTATGTCATCGGTAGCCTCGCCTTCACTCCAAGGCCAGGGTACAAAGCATAAATATTTCAAATTATCCGTTAGGTTGAAATCACGTTTTTTCTTAAATCTTTGCGTGGAAGAAAACTGACTGATAGCTTAAAAGGGGCGTAATATGGGGGATGGGGGTGGCTTTGTCACGGCAGTCTCGCCCATTCTGTTGAGTATTGCTAGTTGTAAACAGACAGATCTGTCTCCCAAGCGTTATGGTTGAAGTTACACGGAACAAAGGTAAACTTTGAAACCTAACTCTTAAGCTGAAAAATTTTGTAAGCGCTAATTAAAAATCCGTTTTAATTATGTCCATCCGTATTTGTTTTGTATTTGCTGTGATATTTAATCCGTCTTTCAATGTTTCTTCTGTTTTTTTTTTTTTCTATGCTTCGTCCCAGTTTAGTGGACCCCCTAAAGGGAAAATTTAGCTAAATTTCGTAATACCGGTCCTCTACCATTCAGTAGCTTTGCATCTCTTTAAAGCAGCTGCTTTTGTTTTCGGGCTAGGTGGCAATGTTAACTTTGCTTGTTAATTGTTTTCCCAATCAAACCCGTGTGGTCCTCAGAGAGACGCAAGGTCACCCTTGCCATTAACTTGTCCAAAGAGTCAGGAGAGTGTAAATTGGTTTAGTATTTTTTTGGTGTTGTTGTTTAAAGTGTGAGAAATTGTTAAAATTTATCAAATTAAAAAAAAATGCTTTGATACCTTTATTCTATGCTGATACCCCCCTTGCCAAAGTCCAGGGACATTATATGTGTACGTGTAATCACCAGTCAGCAGAGTATTGTTTTTATTCGCGCGGATTCCAAACACTGCTTGTCTCATGGAAAGCTGCTGAAGCTTTAAAAACAGAGAATATTTTTGCATATGTTTCTTTGAAGCCGTTTGCGACTGTAAAGATTCCCAGTGACCCAGAAGGTTGAACTCGTGAGGAATGATGATTTCAGGATGAGCATCTAATATGGCGCCAACTAAACTGTGACTACTGCGAGGATAACCAATGAACAGAACAAACGTCTCCACTCCATCATAGAGTTGATACAATTTTTCCACGGGAGACAGCAATGAAAATGTCCCTGAAAGACACAAAGAGGGAACAAGGTTTGCGAGTGATTAGCACAGCCGGAAAAGGATAATAGTTTCTATTGGGATATACTGCCCGACAAGAAGGCTTGTACAACAATTAGTCGAGGTAATACGGATTCCCGAATTCGCGAAAATTTTTGACTGTGGAATCATGAATCTATAGGAGAAATTTTTGCTTGTGGAATTAGGATTCCTGGGATTTGGAAGACGTAATCCAGCTCAAGGAATCCGGAATCTCGCTAACGATTGGCGTGAACTCGGAATCCAAGTTCCACTGACAAGGAGTCCCGAGTCCACAGAGTGAAATCCAGAATCCGACACTGTCTTGGATTACGTTACATGGAGCGAAATTGGGGCAAACAAATTGTTCTGGGAAACTGCCCACCTGCCCCTCCCCTAAGCCAACATTTTGCCCTAAAGGAAAAGTAATTGTTGATGTTGTCTTAAGAGAGGGGTAGGTGGGCAGTTTCCAGAAACTTATAATGATCCAAAATTGTTAAGGATAGCTGGGCTTCGGATTACGTAAGGAATGTTGTGGAATTCCGCTTACGATGGAGCCAGGAATCCATTAAGTTCCATTGACACGGAATCGCGGAGTCCATAGCGTGGATTCCAGGATCCAACTCTGTCTTGGGTTATCTTAAATGGGGCGTCAAATTAGGGCAAAAATTGTTAAGGATGAAGTCTTCACCCCAGGGTGGACAAAGGGTCACCTCTTGCAAGGAATTTGCCGAAGTCAAACAGTAAGCATTTCCGGGGATAGGACAGGATAGGACAGGATAGATAGAACTGTCTCCAGGAGCCCATTACCCGGAACGAGCAACTTCCATGCCCTTGTATCACGGCGTTTTTTACGGACCAGTAAAACCAGTTTTTAAATTCCACAAACCAGTAAGCAAAACCTACAGACCTAAAAATGATATTTTTTGCCTTTTAATGACGTTTAGTTTTCCTTTTTGATATCTTATACTTCGAGTGCGCTCATAGACATGGTGAAGATTATAATTTCGCGGGAAAAAGTGCCCTAAAATGTGTCTAAAAATAAACTGGTCCGTAAAAAACGCCGTGACATAGGCCTAGTATGGGAGTTGCTTGCTAAGGGTTATAAGTTGCTGCTGTCTCCCATTCGCTAAAGGCGCAGTTGTTTTGCTTTGTTACGACTTCCTCGCCAGGAACGCGGCGTAGAAGGCAAATTCAAAAGTCATGAACTTAATTACTGCTGACGCCTACAAATTACTCACCGATTCTCTTAACTGCTATGTTTTCGAAAATGGTCATGAGTTTTTTTCTTGACGTTACAATTTCCTCTGTTCTGATTATAAAGTATCGAAGAGCTAAAACAGAGGTAGCTATAACTCCAACCAGAAAGAAGGAAATAAGTTTGCGTCCGAGGAGCATTATGTATGATATTAAAATCTGAAAGAAAGAGAACGAAAATCATATAAGACACTGTCAAATGTTGTGCAAAGTGTCAGTAGGTCTTTAGCTACTTTTCAATGATATAGATCGAGTTTTTTTACATGACGTCACCTCCGTCATGTTTTGGTGTCCCTAAACAAAACGGCGCTCATGTTGGTGTCCCTAAGCCAATCCTGTGAGAGTTGAACCTTTGGAGAACCTGGTGAAAACTTTCTTTCCTTCCAATCGATCGGCGTAGCTGCTGGCCACGTAAGTGAAGGCTCATCGATCGTCTTGTACAGTATAACGTTCCTTTGAATGTATGGAGGAGTCAATAATCGATCATAACATTCGGACTCATTTCAGAATTCACCCACAGATAAAAAATCGTTACTGTATAGTTTACCAAACAATAGAATAAAGAAAACCCTCCTACAAAACTTAATAAAATGTTGCCAAACCTCAAATGGTTTATTCTAGATTCCGCGACTTAGACGAAAGATTAAGATCTGTCATTTCGCACTTTGGCTGATAAATATCTTCATATAGATTTTTACATAAAGTTATTTTTTCGTCGCTACTAATCTACTTCGGCCGAGGTTTTAACTTTATGGTTTTTTGGGTGCCTACGTCTCAAAAAAAAAAAACATCATTCAAATGCTCCAGCAAGGTAACATACATTACCGGCCATGGTTATACTTCAATTCTAGGCAAAAACATCCCACTCAATTCGGCCTTATCTCTTACGACAGTGGATTTTAAAATTCAAGGTCTCCAAGAACCTTTTTGACCAAAAAATATATATTTTTAACATCGATGAAAAAGTAATAAAAATGAAATAAAATGAACAATTTGGGGATGAATTTCTCACCTGTTGTTAGTGACTTTCCAGGAGTCTCTTCAAACGTTTAATAAAATTAATATATACTTCTTTAAAACTATCACCGTCATTAAAAAAAAGAAAAAAAACTTACTTATGTAGACGCTGAAAGAAAAGAACGTAATTGGACAGTGTCAATATTCACATGTCAAGTTTGTTAATATTAGAAAAGAAAGTCTCAATTGGAATAAATTGTAGAAGTTGAGTTGAAATGGCCACGATGTGACCATTTACATTCTCGCCAATGAGACATTCGCTCACACGATTTTAGTGCTATTGTTTCCTTGATTGTTGTTAAGAATTGCAAGAAAAAAATAAACTTAATAGCCGCCTTTATCGAGGGCTGACGTACTTACATAAGATGAAACACTAAATTATATTAGCAGTTTCTGGCCATAAAGTATCGGCGATAAAAATGCCAAACATCATTGTCGGAATTGTTTATTTGGAAGATTTGGCCACATTAAAGTTTATCCTCAAAAAATTAATAAGAACAAATAGCCCCCCCCCCCAAAAAAAAACGACATCGGGAGAAATGGCTATTGTTCTCGGGACATTTACTTCAGTACTGTCAGTTAAAATTTCGAGGTCTGTCATATCGCGTATTGTTATTCTAAAATGCTAAAGAGGAGGCAATTTAACCATAATTCTAGCCTCAAATTTTCATCTTGAGAGTGTTGAGACGTTTCAGTGTGCCTTTTTTTGTCCCGTACTAATTGGATCTGTTGTTTACACCTTTTTCCATTTTTTTTTATTTTCCATTTTAGTCCGAGTGGTCCTAATTAACAAAACTAAGACCTTACATGCGAATGTGGACAACTGAAATAAGTTTTTAAGTCATAAGACCCTGGAAATTATTTTTTTAAGAAACTGTATGATTCGATGTGAAAAGTATATAATGATAAGAAAATAATGATTATGAACCGTAAGAGTCACCACCAACATTAATTTCCTGTACAATTAGTAAGATTGTATTTCCCTTGAATAATTAATGGTAGTGTAAACTGTTGCTCAGGAACTTTGTATTTTAAGGTAAGAATGTCTCACACAAGGAGTTGCAAAAAGAAGACACAATACTACGTTTATTAACACGGTGTGTGGTCTAGTATAATGTTTATTTTAGTAGGTTTTGTTATTATTTATAGTTTTTTGGTTTTGTTTTGTGTTGTTTTGTCTTGTTGTTTTTTTTTTTTTTTAATTTTTAACAAGTTTCGTACAGAAGAACTTGAAACTTGTAACGACCAAGAAAGACTGGAACAACTCAGTACGTTTGCAGGTTATGATAAGTTAAATTCCTTTTGAAGAAGGAAGTTCATATGATAGATACAGGGACTCTGATTCGACTAAAACATGACGGGGTGTAAGACAGATGTTAAAACAGCGAGGCCGTGAAAATAAATAGATAAATACTTAAAGTATGATCAACAAAAACAGTTTTGATATCACTGCGGTTATCTACCTCAGCCGTCGGCTTTGGCTAATAAACACCCCTCTTCATTCTTCATAGAGCAATTTTCGTATGACCTTGAAATGAAAACGCGCGAACAAAACAGAAACAACGAACGAACGGAAATACAGCGATTTGATTTGTTTGTCGAACGGATACAAACGCGCGTGGCTTTTGGTTGGTTAAGCGAACGCTCGGGTGAAAAAACATTAACCCCGAGAACTTTCTAGAAATCAGTCGCTACTTGGGTTGACGTCATACTGCAACACGATTGGCCAATCGAACAGTGCCTTCTCCCTATTAGGGTTTTCAAAACGAAGAGTCTATGTTTTGATCTTCTCATCCATTGGCTGATAACACAAATAACGAACACTTACAAAATCCATTTTTCAAAGTCACACGAAAATCACTCTATCATAAGTAGCGTTAACAAGGAAAATTTCCAATTAAATTTCAATTAAACCTTTAGCCGTATAAAATCCAAATTAAATATTTAAAAAATTTGCTGCGTAAAGCCAACCCCTCCCCCATAAAAGATCAAACCCTTGAATGAATGTATCGTATTGACACTTCTCTTATGCACCAAGATCAGGTGTTATTTATAATGTACTTATATAATTTCACCGGATAGATGCATCTTAACATGTCTATAATGTACATATGTTTTCGCCACATCTACTTTTAAAGCTTGCCATGATTAGTTGGTCCATATTTTGTCTTGAATGTGTGGTTGATTGAAATCGTTTTTTAGGGACGTTTTACTTCAACCAAAAAAGTGCACACCAAGTTCGACCGTCACTTTTCAGTTCAAAAGAAAAAGAAAAAAGATGTGAAATAAAAAATTAACACAATAGTAGTTATATAATGATGCCATGTTACTCACTCACTTGGTACTTTTTCCCTGTCATTTTTCAATTATTTCCGTCATTCGACCCCAAATTTCAATGACGGAATTTAGACAAAGAAATTTTTGTACTTTTTTCAAAAAATTTCTGAGTTTATCTTCTGT